GGTGCAGCAGGAGGACGCGACGGGAGGACACGGACAGGGTGACTTTTCAGAGCAGACGCTGTCATGGTGATAGCTACGGGGTGCCAGCTGGGCGGGACACCCAGGAGCAGCAGCTTGCCTCCACGGGGGGAGCGGTGCTCTAGGCGTGATTGCTGAGTGATGTCCCTGAATGCTGGAAGCCACCAAAAGAGGCAGTGCCATCCATACCTGTCTTTTTTCCTTTTTTTTTTTTTTTTTTTTTACATTTGCCATAGGGTGCAGTGCTTGCCAGAGAGGAGAGACAGAGAGAAGGAAAACGAGAAATCACCCCCCGAGGGGATGACCATGCTGCAATCCCTTCTCCTCCATCTCCTCTTGGGATTTGGGGCACATGTGTATACACACACCCAGTGTGACCTTTAAGCCACCAAGTCCAGGACTCCAGCCATGGTCGGCCATGTAGGAGTCCAACGCCTTAGCCACCATGCCACCTGCTGGCCCCCACACCCAACCTTTTTATACACTGACCTGCCTGGGCTTTCTGGGGTGTGAGGGGGGCTGGGATGTGGAGCCCGGCCAGGTGGACGTGATGGGAAGGGGCTCGTGTCTCGTCTGTTGCAGCTGCAATCGTATCTCTGCGGTGGGAGCCCTGAGCCTGGGCCAGGGCCTCCGGGTCAACCAGACGCTGAGGACTCTTGTGGTGAGCGCCAGCCAGATGGAGGGGGGCCCAGCACAGACCCGCCCTGGGCCTGCCACACAGATCCCTCCCCACCAGGTTCCCCATCCAGGGGAGGTGGGCCAGCAGGTGCACACAGGCTCCAGAGCGGAGATGGGGGTCGCAGAGGAGGGTTCAGGGGTTCTCTTGTGACTGTCTCCCCTAGCCATGCCCTCCGCCATCTCTGGCCTGGCCCAGGCCTGTCTCCAGATTCCTCTCCCCCTCCTTCCCTCCTAGCACCCCTCACTGCCCTTCCTCCTCGGGGCACTTTTCTAATACACATCTGCATGCACATACTCCTTCATACATGCACTGAACACTCACACACACACACACGCGCACCCGCACACACACAAGCTCTCATTGTTCATCTGAGCTTCAACTCCTGCTGTTCTTATTGAAATGCCCAGCTCCTCCCACCTGGCCGCAAAGCTCCGCTCAGATGTTTGTTTTTTAACTTTATTGATGTATTTGTTTTTATTTGACCAGAAAGGGTGGGGAGAGAGAGAGAGAGAAAGCCACCAGGTCCCGGACTTGAACTGCGGTTGATCGTGTGGGATTCCAGTGCCATTAACCACCATGCCACCTGCCAGCCCCTAGCTCAGATGTTTTATCCCTCCCATCCTCGGCAGCCCAGGTGGCTGGTGCACTCTTTCATTGCACTTATTACCAGTGTTTTGGGGTTTTGGGTTTTGTTTTAGAGATTTTTGCTATAGGGTGCATGCACACACTGGAGAGAGACAAACGGCAAGAGGGAAAGTGAGAAATCACCCCCGGGGGGATGGCCACGCCACGATCCCCTCTCCATTCTCCTCTCGGGATCTTGGGCACACACGCACATGCACCTGGTATGAATTTAAGCCGCCGGGTCTGGATCTGGAACTGTGTTGGACTCCATGGGAGTCCAGCAACATAATCATTATGCCATCTGCTGGTCCCAATCATGGTGTTTTTTAAAAGATTGGATTGGGCCGGCAGGTGGTGTGGTGGTTAGCAGCATTGGACTCCCACGTGGCTGACCACAGTTCAAGTCCCAGACTCGGTGGCTTGCTTTCTCACTTTCTTTCTGTTTCTCTCCAGTCAAATTGGAAAAGAATGATAATTAAAATAAATGTATCATTCTTTTTTTTAAAATCCTCTTAAAAAAAAAAAGTTTGGATTATTTTATTTCTCCAATGAATGAGAGACAGAGTGAGAGACCGGCAGAGAGATGGCACCCCCTAACAAGGTCCTGTGTGATGACCCACCTCCAGCTTCAGCCAGCCCGGGCCCAGGATCACGGGCCTGCACGTGGCTGGTACACTCAGGGACATCGCCCAATACAGGCCCGGCCCCTCCCACGTAGGTCAGCCTTGCAGACCGTCGGGTCCTACCACCATACACTGTCTGGCCCTGCACGCCACGTTTTACAGTGTTCCCTCCCTCCACCTTCGTAAGACAGGAGTGTGTCCGTGTGTCTGTATCTCTGGCTCCCAGCACAGAGCCAGGTGCTGGGAGGGTGCACCCTCAGAGGCCAGCCTCATCCAGGGTGTCGGATGGAGATGCCGTCCTGGCCTTGTGACCGGAGATGAGGAATCCCTACTCCGCCCCTCTCAGCCACTGTCCAGCTGCCCCAGGCCTGGCCTCTCTCAGTTCTGTGTGTGTCTCTCCTAGGTGTCCAGGAACCCCATGCAAAGTGACGGCTGCTTTGGGCTTCTCAAGTCTGTCCAGGACAATCCCGCGTCTGCCCTAGAACTCCTGGACTTCTCTGTAAGAGCTTCTCCTAAACCCTGTCTCTGAGCCTCCCAATGGCCCTGGGAGGCACCATTTTCCTCCAATTTATTATTTTTTAATTTAAAAAAAATTTAACTTTATTTATTTATTTATCTTAATTTGACCAGAGAGGGACAGAGTGAGAGAGCAAGAAAGAGAGAAAGCAAATCTCTAGGTCCAGGACTTGAACCGCAGTTGGCCATGTGGGAGTCCAGTGTCCTTAACCACCATGCCACCTTCTGGCCCCTAAAGAATGACTGTTTAAATTTTATTTATTATTACTATTTTTTAGTTTGATGAGAGAGAAACGGGGGCTGGGGGAGAGTGAGAAAGCAAGCTGCCAGGTCCGGGATTCAAACCGCCATCAGCCAAGTGGCAGTCCAGCACCTTAACCACTGTGCCACCTGCTGGCCCCGTTTTCTCCACTTTAGAGAAAGAAGGTGAGGACTAGAGAAGTCAAGCACCTGCCTAGGTCACAGTGGCAGAGTCCAGAGTCCCAGCACTGGTCGGGAGGCTGCTGGGCTCCGCACCTCCTGGCTATGCAGCCTGCTGTGGTCTCAGCGTGGGCCCTGCCTGGGCTCTTCGCTGAGGACCAGTGAGGGCAGGGGCCCGATGCCCTTTGTTCACTTCTAGAGTGGCAGATTCAGCACCTGTGAGGCTGTCCTCACCCAGCCCCCCGCCTGGCCTGCCTGCAGATGAACTGCAGTGCTGGGTGACTCACTCAGGTGGCCGTGAGGGAGATTCGGATCCCCCTCCCTCCCTTTTTCTCTTTGCTATAGGGCACGTGAGCACACCAGAGACAGAGAGAGGGAAAGTGCGAAATCGCCCCCCTGGAGGAATGGTCGCGTTGTAATCCCTTCTCCTCCTGGGATCATGGGCACGCACGCACACGCACCCAGTGAGTTTCAAGCTGCCAGGTCTGGGGTTTGAACCATGGTTGACCATATGTCCAGTGCCTTGATAACTATGCCACCTGCTGGCCCCAGGATCCCCCCCCTTTTATTCAATTTTGTCCTTTAGGGTTTTTTTTTTTTTTAAAGATTTATTTATTTATTTATTCCTTCATTCCTTCATTTTAATTTGACCACAAAGAGCCAGA